GCTGAGACATCATTGACTACTGATGGAGTGGTTTTTGTGATAGATCTTGGATTTTCGAAACAAAAAGTTTATAAACAGAGAACTCGTGTTGAGTCACTATTAGTATGTCCGATATCTAAAGCTGGTGCTATGCAAAGTGCTGGTAGCGCTGGTCGTACTAAGCTTGGTTAGCTTTTCGGTCCTAATCGTTCTCACATTGGGAAACTTTCCATTTTAGGAAAGTGTTTGCGGAGATCTCTTTATTTCTCTACATGCTCACGAGCTTTCTGAAGTACCCGGTCTTCCAGAATCTCACGTACGAAAGTCTGCCTTGCACATCATGACCAGTATTGTAATGCTTGCTCAGCTTTTCCTAATTTTTCGTTTTTAGGACTTTCTTTTTGTTCGAATGTATCAGCCTACTACTCTGACAAAGTCATACAAGCTGGAGCAAATCACTTCTATTTTTTATCATCCACCGTACTGCTTCCGTCACTCCTTTCAACTCTAGCTTTAGGAGCAGGTGAGGTGGGGATTGTTATGATTTTGGTAGGTTATACATGACGATGGAACAAAGTCATTTTAGCTGCGGATATGTGGAGCATCAAAGTCCCACTCTAATTCGTTTCTTGGTTTGATCCTTTGCAAACTACATCGTTCAAACTGTTTACATGAGTTTGTCAGTTTATATGCTGCTCATAAGCGACGCTCTGTTTGGCATCTGTGCCGGATATATTTCAGTTCTTTGTGTTTTTTCTGTTGGAGTCCTTATGTTAACATGAGTTAATTTTGTGAGGCTCAATACATGCGAAAGGCACTCGCTTCTGTAGACTACTCATCATACGATATGTTGTATCATTCATTCTTTGATTGAGAGACGCGAGCGCGCTTTGCGTACATTTCATTAACAAGTTCATGAATGAGTTTTAACGCCTTGGATCGATTTACTATTAGATTTCGTGGAAGAACATGTTTGAGCTTAACACGAACCACGCTGGCTTGAACACTTTCTTTTACGTATTCCTGACATTAAATAACCAAAACGCGTTAGAACTCATCCATGAACTTGTTGATCAAATGTACGCAGAGCGTGCTCGCGTCTCTTAGTCAGAGGATGAATGATATATGTTGTATATGTTGGAGCATATGAAAAAAAAACCAGTAGTCGCAGAAGCGGTATTGCTTGCGTCCTCAAATGATATAGTACTTCCTCATATGAATCCTTGAATCACAATTCTCAGTTATGGCGTAAAAACAACATCCACTACTCGTCGCAGTACTAGAATAGCTGGTCTCCAAGGTGCTATTGGTCTTGGAGGTACTATAGAATATGCCGTTACTGGCACAGTCCGAGAGCAAGCATCTATTCTGAACTTCGCCTCTTAGCTTGTTTTTTATTTTTGGCACTAATACGGACTAACATTCATGGTATAGCGGACCTCTTAAGTAATTCACGTGAGCCTTTTATGACAGGTAAAAAGCTAAAACTCATCGATTAATAGTTTACAGCATCAGCTCGACATGTTCCTGTTTTCAATCCTACAAAAAAGCGGAGACGCGGGGTCAGATAGGGGAGAGTGAAGGAGGAAAGGACAGGTAGCCGGTTTTCGGCACTCGCTGTTTTCTGTGATAATCGATTTCGTAGGAAAGTGTACAAGCAGAGCGACAGTACGTATGGCTGATTACTATAAGCTCAAGTGCATCTATTCGATACTTGCAGTCATCGTGGAGCAAACGTGATGGAACTTATGGACAGAAGCGCAAGCTTAACGCAATGTTCAACAAAAGTTTTGTTTTGCGATTTGCAGTAGATTGTTTGCAGTTAATTCGAAATAAATGTCTTGTCTCTTCATTCTTCTATCTTCTATCTACAAACGCTAGGGTGAGAGGGAGGGAATAAAGAACGGGGTTGAGGGTCGCGCTGACCTCCTACCAGGGGGAAGGGGGAGGGGGTCGTATTCGGCGGTCGTATGCCATGCTCGACGCTGGTCTAGAGCTAGTTTGGGTGGGGTATAGAGACATAATTGGGGTTTGGAGCTTAATTAGGGCTAGTTAAAGTATGCCGCGGCGGACTTCCGGAGCACAAAATGGGAGGACTCCGGAGTCCAAAATGGGAGGACTCCGGAGCACAAAATGGGAGGACTCCGGAGCACAAAATGGGAGGTCTGTTTTCGGAGCACAAAATGGGGGGACTCCGGAGTCCAAAATGGGAGGACTCCGGAGCACAAAATGGGAGGGCTACGGACCACCAGTGGCAATCCCCCGCTGAAGAAACCCCACGGCCCTGCCAATTCTGCTCCGGAGGTATGCCGTCGACTGTCTGAGACAGCGTTGCCTAAATGTCTATGAAGGACTTTATGAATGGAGAAATATCAGCGATCAAACAGTGCATACATAATTTTAGGACTTTCCATGTACTTCAATGCAACAAAAGCATTGACACCATAGAGTTAAGAAGTTGTCCTTCGATTTTTGGACAACGGCCTGTCATAGCAATGCACTGGACTACTGCTAGGTATAGATTTTGTGAGATTCTAGTGGCACACTAGCGTTTTTACAACCAAACTCAAAATCACGAGATTACGACATAGCCATGGTAGCACACGCGGCAGCACTGGACTCAGCTGACATACGTTTATGAAACATCACTTTACTTGGCCGCAGAGCCTCGGTGAGTTGGAGGACATGAACTTTTGAAGATTCAAGCAGAAAACTGCATAAAATCGGAGTAGAAACAATTGCTCTGACGGGGGTGCACATTTATTTAAGCTCAAACAGTGCCTATAGGGAAAAACCTGCAACAGAGATCTGCACAATGTGGAACTGTACTACACGCATTCATAGAATTTTCGCAGTGCTTCTTAGCGTTCTCTTGCAGTTGTAGTTGGTGAGGCAGTCACCTGTAATGGTAATTTACAAAAACTTTAGAAGAATGATATATTAGGTCGTTCCGAAAGTTCTTTCCGTTTTTTCAACCTATCATAAAAACACATGGGATGAAGGTATAGAAACGCTTCAAGCGCTATCCGACGCAATTTTTCTTCCTCTTTTCAACAGTCATATTTCTGTGCCGCTCGCTCTTGTGCTCAGTGAGTTAATGACCGAAATTTCGAACCCGTGGTTTTTACCATGTCCAACTTTGGCAACTTTTTACTATCTTCTTTTTTGACTTTTGGAAAAGCTTTAATAGCAGTCGGATAGAGTAAACAAAGTGCAATTTTATGCAATTTTTCGGCATCTATAGCTAGCCTCAAAACATTTTTAGAATTATTTTTCTGATGCTATCAAATTCCACTTTTGGGAATGCCAAAAGCCATAGAATATAAAACGGCGCACAACTAAGGTGTCATTCGATGCAGCTTTTTCTCCTCTTTCTGATGAGTGCTTTTTCTTCATAGTTTGTGGGGTTCTGGCGATAAAATTTCCATAATTCTTGATTTTGAACCCGCCTAATGGTGTACATGTGAAATGCGAAATCTTATAATTCAAAGCGATAAATACTCAGTTATATTGTAAAAATAGTGCACAATCATAAACGACTTTTGAAAGTTTCGAAAACCGAAGATTTGTTGATGTTCAGAGCGTTTGTGTGTTTTGTGACTTCGGAAAAGTGAAGAGTTCTGAAAAAGTTATTTAAAAAAATAATGAGAAGCCAGCTGAAATTGCCAAAAAATTGCATTGCATTGCACTTTGTTTACTCTATCCGACTGCTATTAAAGCTTTTCCAAAAGTCAAAGAAGAAGATAGTGAAAAATTGCCAAAGTTGGACATGGTAAAAACCATAGGTCCGAAATTTCGGCCATTATCTCACTGACCACAAGAGCGAGCGGCACAGGAATATGACTGTTGAAAAGAGGAAGAAAAGCTGCGCCGGATAGCTTTTGAAGCGTTTCTTTACCTTCATTCCATGTGTTTTCATGATAGGTTGAAAAAACGGAAAGAACTTTCGGAACGACCTAATATTAGGTGGGTGCAAAAGTTCTGTCGTTTCATTTTCAAAAATTTGTAACTTCGCCAGATTTCAACGGATTTGCTTGCCTGTAATTTTATTAGAAAGAATAGGTCTTCCGCTTTCAAGCGCTGTTTTGGAGAGCTTCTGTTTGGCACTGAGTGCAGAGATAAAAATGGAAAACTAAGACCATGTAAACTTTGACCATTTTAAGTTAGGTCACGAAAAATCTGGAATGCTGCAGAAAAATCTGAAATCGTCAGTACATATGTTTTTTGGCCTACACTTTGCATCTGTGAAAAGTTTGTGCTGTTTGAACGTCTCCGTGAGATGTTATGAATATCGAGTTTACATGGAAAACGCCAAAATCAATTAATTTGTGAATTTTCGCGAAAATCATAACTTCTCACAGAGACGTCCAAACAGCACAACTCTTCACAGTTGCAAAAAGTAGGCCAAAAAACATATGTACTGACGATTTTAGATTTTTCTGCAGCATTCCAGATTTTTCGTGACCTAACTTAAAATGGTCAAAGTTTACATGGTCTTAGTTTTCCGTTTTTATCTCTGCACTCAGTGCCAAACAGAAGCTCCTCAAAACAGTGCTTGAAAGCGGAAGACCTATTCTTTCTAATAAAATTACAGGCAAGCAAATCCGTTGAAATCTGACGAAGTTACAAATTTTTGAAAATGAAACGACAGAACTTTTGCACCCACCTAATATTTTGTTAAGGGATACCAAGATTCTGGGCTGGGCATTTTTAAAGTTCGTGAAGTCTAACGTACAAGAATCAAAGTTACCGGCGAACACTGGGCAGCGTACCTATGGTTTTTCGGGAAAACATGATTTTTCTACTCAAATTCTTGCTCTGCAGCTGAATGGATTCAAAGGGCGTTTTGTGCTGCCCTTTGCAAAAGCAGCTATTCTGGGTAAATCATTTGCGATATATAATACATGCAAAATTTTTGGGTAAGAAGACTTTCAGTGGAAATTAGAGCTCCAAAAAAGGTCGCCAACATAAACTAAACATTGGATCAAGATTAGCTTTCGTGAATTGTTGTAAAAAAGTATGACAGAGAGATGCCACTTCCGAGAGTTGGGATTGTGTATGTTACCGTACTTCCGGAAAAACTTTCCACGTCTTTCGTCTAGGTATATCATAATTCTCCATACTGTGTTCCTTTCAAAATGCCCTACATTTGTGTACGCAGAAGTTTATCGTGGGCTGTGCTTTGTGAGCAACTCGTCTTCCAGGCCGCACTGAACGGCACCTAGAGGTTGCCGGTTATTATTGAAAAAATTTCTCATAACTTTCATTACTCTTGTTGAATTTATGCCAAACGTAATGTTCACCAATGTTTGCGATGAAAATAAATACTTTTTACAAGTAGGGTTCGAGAAAGTGCAGCACCGACTGAGTTACTGAAAATGGGTCGAAGACTTATAAAGCAACACAGCCACATTAACACGTTTCGGACCGCGAAATCGCGCGCGGCGAAAAAGAGGGTACTTTCAGCCGTTAGCCAACAAAGGGACCTTGATACGTAGACTGTGTGCTACATTTGTAATCAGTATGTCAGATAAGATCCATACAAAGTTCTGAGTGAATTCAAAGTATTTGAATTTTGCCGCACCAGAAGGAGTTTTGTGCTTTCTTGAAAGATAGGAACAACAACCCAGTTTCTAATACTATCGAAAAGTTTCTATGTTGTACACAGTACGCACCATTACTGAAACCACGGTTTTTCTCTTTGATATCGGAGCAAAGAAAGGTTGCGACGTCACACGCGTCGTTCGCGTTGCGCACTTCGTTGCAACTGTTCGATTCGTCCTCGTATCTTCTAAACAAAAACCGTCGGCACAGCTCTACAGACTCACTTGAAAAGGAGGAGCTTAGGCCTTTGATTTTATAACCTTGGACAAAAAGATAACCTCCTGCAAAGATTGAAAAGATCCTTGAAAGGAGCGTGCTGCACCATGTGCAGCACCGGTCCGAAACGTGTTAAACATGTTTTACTCTATAATCAAAATTCCGAAATGCTTTTAAAATTGTTTGGATTCAGGTATGTATGAAGATGCCAGTCTAAAAAGAACAAAGGCGAGAGACTATTGGGATCTAGGATCCTCTCTATTAGGATCGTACTTTTGAAAACATTCTGATGCAGCCGATGTCTCCCAAGCGCGAGCGCTGGTTCCAGTTGGTGCCAAGCACTGTGCGAGGCTGATGCTCGCGCGTGGCCATAATACAAACTTAACCTAAATTTCATAGGAAGTAGGCTTCAACGGTATGTACGGGGAATATGTGCAAGTAAAGGGTTGAGCCAGACTTTGCGGGGAAGCGCCGTAGCGGCGTACGCAGCGTGCGCTCGGTATATTTCATCATAGGAGCATATTCGGCGTACGCTGCGTACGTCGCGTACGCCGCAGTCTAGCCCAACCCAAAAGTCTCAGAACTTTTGCTAAAAGCGAATTCTACTCGAAATTTGTCACGGGCCGTGAACGATCATGACTTCAAGAGAGTAGAAGAAAAGCAATCACTAGAAAATGAATAGCGATCGTGAATATTTTTCAGCCCTATTACATAACAGACAGATACCTTACAGCGTACAAGAAGTCTGGAAGACGGAATCATGTCATCAAGTATCTACTAGTACAGGGTGTCCCACAAAATGTATCGAACGTTTGATCGTTAATATCTCTCTTCTAGAGAAGTTTTTTCCATTGCTTCAGGTACCAATCTGTAGAGCTGGCTTCAACATAGATTAGCATTATAGAACGAATCACTCATCTCTCTTCATTACTATAAGATTACGGTAGAAACTTCAAAGAGGGTTTCAAGCAATGAAAGGCCATATTTTGTCCCAGAAAGGAAACAAAACAGCCTGAAAACTTTTACACTAGGCTAATTGGAGTTGCTGATTATAACTGTAAAGTTCCCAATTTACTATGATGCTTCATTGAAGAATTATGTTAGGTAAGAGGTAGCGACCATTCTTTCAATGTTCCTAAAAAGTGAGGTTACACCGTTTGAAAAGCTTCGTAATCTTGTGAATAGTTGAGTGTTGAACTCAGCGTCCACGAAAACCCCAATACACAAGTTTTCACACTTTTTTGAAAAATTTTGGAACGGAAGCTTTTTCCACAATGACACCATACGTTTCAAGTTCCTACCGTAATCCTACAATAATGAAGACAGATGGGTGACTCGTTCTACAATGCAAATCTAAGCTGAAGCCAGCTCTACAAAACGGTACCTGAAGCAAGGCAAAAGACTTCTTGGGAAGAGATATATTAACGATCAAACGTTCGATACATTTTCTGGGACACCCTGTATTGTCGCGAAATATGTTAAGCTCAGGAAACATCGGCCTGTAACGGGCTGAGGGCAAGATGGATGTAAATGAAGTAGTTTTATAATTTTTATACAAAGGTATTGCTTTATTTGTTAACACATTGACGACCATGCAGATTTTCAGTCGTCTGCTTTTGGGGACCAAGGTCTTTTTACGGACCAGCCCACTTTTTCAGCTATAATTACGCATACTGCCATCTACAGTAAACCTACAGTAGATCCGAAAGGCTGACAAAAAGGTAGATGTCATCCCTAGACACTGTGCAAAAGAAAGCTCACGGAGTTAGTTTATTCCACGATAGTAGTCATTTTTCCAAAATTCAAGCCTTGACACACATGGCGTGTCAAGCGGTCCCACGCGGTAGTCACTGCTTGACACACCATGTGTGTCAAGCGGTCGTCAATGTGTTAATAATAGACTGAAAGGTAAAAAGAGTTCTTTTCCTTCATTTTTTATAGATAGCCTCCAGGAGGCATAAAAGATTGTCTCACTTCATGCTTATCTTTTCCACTCTCCTGACGGAGTCGCGATGCAGACTCCTCAGAGCTTTTTCCCTTTCTCAATGTAGCAGCTGCGTCACGCTCTTCGGATGCACGGCTTTCGGTCCTCACAGCTTCTCTTCAATCAATATTGCTCAGTAGAATAAATCGTTCGAATGAAATATAACATAAACAACAACAACATGTCTCACTCTGTAAATTGCTGCGCTAAGCTTCCTTTTACTCTACCTGCTTCCTGTCGTTTCTTCACCGTTGTTTCTCGCAATGGTTGTGTTGATTTCTGTAAGTTGATAGAGCTTTGAAGAACTAAAAAGTTTAGCCAAACTGAACTTTTATACAGTCTATTAAAAAGCTTGGTATAAGTGTGCTTGCGGTGTCGAAATGTAAATTTTGCGCATGAACAAATAACTACGCTCGTGATGTTGGCCTTGCGCCCGCAACTGCGGGCGTGGCTCTTTGTCCAGCGTAAGTTTAAACCGGCAAAAGCACCGCATATATTACATCAAGTGGAAAAATTACTACACTGCGCACTTTTGTTAATAAAAGTCGAGAAGGAGAAGAAGAACGCTGTATGCATTCATAGCAGCCGGATCCCAATAATATAGAAGTCCTATATTGATGTTCCGCTCATCTGGCCATGACGTGACTGAGTGCATCCGGGTGCAGTAAGATGGTCCAGACTCTTGTGTCAGCGCAGTTAAAGAAGACCATTCAAGCCATCCTGTCGGGGCTGGTTGCACAATGCGACAGAGTCGTCAACGGCAGAAACTACTAACATCCCACAGCCTTCGTAGCAACGCCCCAGCCCGGCTACATAGATGGTGTATATGGCTTTCTCAGCTTCATAAGATCGACCCAGTAAAAGAGCACTGCGTTTATCTACCACTTGGGACATCCGATGATATACGACTGTGGGACAAAATGTTAGCTGCAAAATCGAAACGTTCATAGGTCCGTTTAGCAAAAAAATGGATTCACAAGATATGGAGGCTGTAATTTATAAAAACGCAAAAACCTTAGCATCAGTTCCTCCAGCACTGTCCGCCCATTAAATCACCGTTCCGGAGGACGGGACTGTGGTTCTCTAGAACGGGATTGTCGGAGTTTTTGCGGATTCTTGACTTTATATTCGGAATAAGGGACATGAGAAGGCCTCGGAACCAAAACATGAAAGTTAAGAATCTGGATGACGGTGCCTTTGAAAATATTGAGTAGGTGCAAAAGTTCTGCTAGTTTCTTGAAATCCGCAAACACCGTACAGTAAAGATAAACAAATATTTCGAACTTCCCGATCAGGTATTATTGAATTTTCAAAACACTAATTTTAAAAACTCGATTACTTATGGTTTTAACCTTACAGAGTTATGCGCGATTTTTGCTTTAAAAAGACATTTTGAGATTTTGGTAATTCGCACTCGTGATTGAACGCGTGTCTTGCCAAGAAAAAAATTGTCAGAAAGAGGAGAAAAAGTTGCATCGATATAGTTCTCGACCATTTACCACTTTACGTTCTACGATTTTAAAATAGGCCGAGTACAAAATTAGGTTGCTTAGAAAAAGATTCCATAGAACTAAAAAATTGCTTCAATGAACACTGCCCTGTCTGCTCGCTATCAAAGCTTCCTCAGAATTGTCAGATATAAATTCTGAAAATGAGCGAGGATCAGACACGATGATAGCCGAGGGTTGTGTTCTCCAGCAACTATCACAGCATCTTCTAGACTAATTTGTGAATATAGCACCTGAAAAGAAGAAGAAATCTGCATCGGACACGTCTTGAATTATCTGGGTCGGTAGTAAACCTATCGAAACTCAGAGTTATAACTCAGAGTACTCTGAGTTATCTCCGAGCTAACGCGCAACTTTTTGACCCCCTTAACAGGTGTTTGAACAGATAAAATCCGGAAAGCGATGATATGGCAGGATTCTCCTTAACACGTAGTTTATTCCTAGTAGCGCAACATTGTCCAAATCGTCCTGCATAAGAAACAGCGCCACCAAACACGCAACTAGTGTCTGCGATAACTCTGAGTTTGGTGCGAGTTCCAATCTATCGTGGAACTCAGAGATAACTCTGAGTTTGATCAGAGAAAGAGAAATAGTGCGCAAAAGAAGAGGGGCAGCTAAAAAGTCCTCCGGGGTACATTTTGCTCGTAGTTTAAGCAGGCATGATGGGGGTATCGTGGTGCGCAGTGATTTACAAAATTAAGAAATTTTGTAGAAACTTGGCCCAGGGGGTTGTTCGGTGCGCTAATTACGCATATGGTACCCATTTTTCACTATGGGGTCATGTAGAGGTGTTACGGTAGGTTTACGGTAGATGGGAGAAAATCACGAAACTGATCGAAACTTGGTACACTGGGGTTATTCGGGGCGCCGATAACGAATATGACATGCAGATTATACTGTGGTGTCATCTGACGAGGTTACGGTAGGTTTACGGTAGATAGGAGGAAATCACGAAACTGATCGAAACTTGGTACACTGGGGTTATTCGGGGCGCCGATAACGAATATGACATGCAGATTATACTGTGGTGTCATCTGACGAGGTTACGGTAGGTTTACGGTAGATAGGAGGAAATCAGGAAACTGATCGAAACTTGGTACACTAGAGTTATTCGGGATGCAGCTTACGGACAATCTATCTGCTACATACACTGGTGACATATGGAACGGTTACGGTAGGTATACGGTAAGTAAGACAAAATCATGGAAGGGCAAACTTTGCCCGGAGGATTTATTCTGTGCGCAAATCCTAATAGTCAATTCTTATCATTGCGTATGCCATCCGCTTTCTCTATTGTTTGAAGATTTCAGCTGCGCAAAAGACCAATCCTCGTGATGAACCATCACTGCCCGATAGAAATGGAAATGAGTGAGGCTTTGGTATATGTTTTGACCCGCTAAGTGTTAATGGAATGAGTGAGTACATTATGGCAAAGCAATTTTAGGGTTCATGGGTGTGTCATGGTCTAGCGGTTTAGTGATAGGATCTTTACGCTAGACCATACATTTTTCGAGTCCCTACTTTAACGTCGCTTTTGCAGCAAAGTGCTCAACAGCTCCTCAAAGCAAAACTCCGAGCTTGAGAGCTGGAATTCGGAATTACGAAAGCGGAACTCAGAGTTTTAATAAGCGTAACTCAGAGTTTCAAAAACGGAACTCAGAGTTATCTCTGAGTTAACGCAGAGCTTCAAACTCGGAGTTTCGACCAGATTACTACCGACCCTGTTTATCTTTTCTACCTTAATTGCGATTGGACCTTTGAAAAATTGACAAAACTTTTGTATCGATTTAATGTCATATCAATCGAAGTATTGATGTCATAGCTTGAGATGAGATGCTGCTTACAAATTTGTGGTAAATTTTTTCGTGGACATCGCAAATCTCCAAAATTCACCAGTTATTCTCTTTGTAGAAGTCGCAGATAATCTTTTGCCGTGGATGATATATGGACGCAGTTCTCCGAGAAATACTGACGCTCCGCTACACCACCACGAAAATTTACACGAAAAATGTTTTACTATATTAGTTAGTCTTTGAGCACCATTTTGTAACTGGGTTAAACTTATAAGGGAAGGGTACCAACTTGAGTAGGCAACTGAAGACGAGATGTATATCACTAGAAGCGAACAATGATTCCATTTTGCTTTCCTATCTTGCGGAACAACTTTCCTAAAAAACTTGTAAGCGTTTGAATGTTCTCATGTATCAAGTTTTAGTGCCAGAGTCAGTGAAAAGCTGCACATAAACATTCGTAAGCAGACCATCTTTGTAGATACCCTAATTTACGCGTTTAAGTCGCGCGGGATTTTTTTTTAATTGTCCGAACCAAACACAACGAAAGACTTCGAGAGCAGAGGACCTATACCCAGCTGCGTGTTGCCTGAGCATAGGATTAGCATTGTGCGGCATAAGGATCGCTTTCTGAAGCACATCGAAGCGGAGAGCGGCTAGTTTAAAGAATCGGAAAAGGGCCCCTTGTACGCGTGAGGTTAGGGTATATTGTATGTAAAGAAGGAACAAAGCCGGTGAAAATCCGCCTAAACGTTGCTTGCTTTTCGCTAATTTTGGGCCACTTGATGCGTGACAAATCTAGACATTCAAACGCCCATAACTTCAGAGAATCGTTCCGCAAAAAAGAAAAGCAGATTTGGAACCAGCGTCTAGAGACATATATACCACGTCTTCAATCGCCAACTTATGTTGGTATCCTCCTCTTGTTAATTTAGAGTACAGAGCGAGTCTTGGAACCTTCTTCGTTACTGTAATATTACGGTAAATACTTTGGAGAAGGTTTCAAGTTAACGTTGCGAATCGCATTTTCTTCAGAAGAAGAGCAAGTAAATTAAACTTTTTACATTGGGCCAATCAGAGTCGCTATTCAAATATGAAATCTGCATATCACAGTCATGCTTCTTCCATGAGTCAATTTAGGAAAAACGTAAAATATGCACTTCCGATGTTTTTCGAAAGTGAATGCACCACTAAAAACTCAAAAAATTTGTAAAAAGTTGTTTAACAAAATCAGCATGTGAAAATCCCCTACGCAATTTTTTAGAATTTTTTTTTAGTTTTCCAACAAAGTTCCTATTTCGCCATGTCTTCTGTGCTGAAAATAATCAATAATTCTCTCAGTAATCCTACAGTATTGTAGAGAGGTAGGAGATTCGCTCCACACTTAACTTCGAGTAGCTCTACATAGTGATACGTGAAGATAGACAAAAGACATCAAAGCGAGTCATTAACGATCAAAAATGTGTACAACTTTAAGGACCCCCTGTTCATCATCAAGTGACCTCTTACAGGATGGCGTCAAAGTAATGATCAAAAGCTATTCTTTATAGATGATTATAGGAGCACTTCGGACAAATCGAATAAATTGGCATTACATCGCTCTCCTATATCCCTGCGTCCAGACATTTGTAACTCTTCAAGCGTGACACAACGCGAGCACTTCACGACATATAAGATCGAAAGCTATCAAACTGCTGGGACTACTAATTGTTATCCACCCTATTTTGGCTTGACTGGACAGGCAACAAGCATCAATACACATTTCTACAGTTTGTTGTTTCAAAAGAGGTTTTGCTGGCGAGTTACCAATGAGGCTTCCTTGCTTGATGCGCGCAATGTGCAGGCTCGCATATGAAGCTACCAATGACTCGTGCACAATTATTGTAATCAGCGCATCATATAGTCGCTCTAGACAAATTTTTTTACAGTTCGATGCAAAATAGCTTTTCATCGTTCTCCTACAGTATTCAGAGAAAGTGTCACCAGCACCAAACTGACTTGAATGTTACCAGCACGCTGAATAGTCCATCTAAATAAGACAAAGTATGTGCTAAAACTAACTACTTACCGAGTACCTACCGTATCCCCGCAGACCATAGCACTGTACATGTCAAGATGCGCCTCACCAAGCTGAGTACTGTCTGCCCAAATCGGGATCAGGCCGAACCGCCGGTTGAATTTGCGCGTTCGCAACGCTAGGGGTCTGGGCTGCATACGCGCGCTGTCGCGGAGAGCGAAGAGATAGGGTAGAGAGCACTTGGCTAGCCGTAGACATGACGCAATACCCCCGCGAAACGGGTTTCCGCCACGTCAATTTCAGCCTGGTTGGGATTGGGGCAGACTGTAGAGTAACGCTTTTTTCAGAATACGCACCCTTTTCGGCGAAATCTTAGTCTGCCGCCTAACATGGGCGGCCGCCGCCGTTTTTGCAACTACTAGCGGTATCGTGTACTCGGGCTATATAGAGATGCGCATCGCGGCTATTGTTGTAGACAATCGCTATTGTCCACTTTATACCAAGAATATGACTTGATGCTTATTTCTAAATGCGCTCTGCTTAATTAGCGGGAGTTTGTTATTTCATATCACAGCGCAAAATACTTCTCGAGTGAACCTAGAGGCAATGTCTCACCAAAATTGTAGTGCTGCTCTCCACATATTTTGTTAGAGGGCTCCTTGGATAGACGATTGCCCGAAGTCCAACTAGATCCGGACCTTTCTGCGCGGAGAAATTTGCCGTCAATGTGGCCCGCAAAGAGCAATTTGGCTCGCATGGCCGACGACACCGATCCCCACTTGCCACAGTGGCGAAAGCTAGGACAAGGCACAACTCGTCCGCGTTGACGGGGTTTTCGTACATTTTATGCGATTTTGGACCCGCAATGAGTTACACGGGTAGGAAAAGGCTTGCGATTTGCGAAAATTCTGGCAAGTTTTGGTGAGACGTTGTCTTTGAATGGAACGAGCGTGTGTGACTGAACATTTTTCATTGAGAAGTTTTGCGCTTTTTACCGCCTTCAACTGCTCGTCATAAGGCAACGAGGCCTGCGCATTTTACACTTTGACTCGAGATGACTTCATTTGGATGAAAATATGTCCTTACTTTATTTTGCTTTTCGTCGGTCTCATTCTGCGTATTGTCTGCGCTCTGTTCCTCCAAAGTATTGTTCGCACTTTTTCCGGCTTTTTCGTGCTTGCTCCTGAAGGATTTTGTTTGTTTGAATTGAAAACAGGTCGTAACTTAGAAACGGACGATTAGCATGTCTTACGTGAGCGCCTCAAGAAAACTTCTAACAAGATCTTCTCCCTTCTTTCCAAGATCTTCTCTTACATTCTGGAGCGTCTTTCCAAGACCTCCTTCCAAATTCTGGACCGCTTCCTTTCCGAGAGAATGTTCTCCCAAATTCTGTGCCGTTGTTCTTCCAACTTCTCCCAAATTCTGGATCTTTTCCTTACCAAGAAGATACAGAAAATTCTTCAATTTTTCTAACACCTGCAATGGTTCAACTACACTACTGAACCCGACCGGGCCAGATCCCTTTGGATTCTCGATCGCTAGGCGGTCCTGCTCCATACTCAGGGTTAGCGATCGCTCCGTGAGAACCAAGATTAGGCCTAGCTCTGCTCTTGCAGGGGAAAAATTTCCTTACATCAACTAGAGCAAGAGACACTGCAGATAACACCAGCAGTGGCGGTCCCAGGATTTTCGTCCGTTGTGGGGGGGGGGGAGGGGGAAGGGGGGAGGGGACGGCGTGCCAAGATTTTTCCAGTGAAGGTTGCGTGACGTTAAAGGCAGTGTCGGGCAAAAACTCGATTTTGAGATTTTGTGCTTATGCGGGCCTATTCGGCATGCTGAATCCGAAAATCCACATTGGAAAGCGCGAAAACGGCGAAAAAGGGCTCTAACACAGGAGGGAAATCAGCAGGTAAGCGGGGCTTTCCCCAGTGCGATTTCACGCTCCAAGCTCCCGGAGCGATTTTCTCGATTCCGCTAGCCGTCCTAACATCGCTACCGGTCAAGTGCGAATGATTGACTTGAAACCGGAAGCGAGAAGATCGCTCCGGAAGCCGAGAAAGTGAACTCGCAGTGGGGAGGACCCCTCCCACCTGCTCATTTCCCTCCTGTGTTGAAGCCGTTTTTCGCCATTTTCGCGCTCTACAATGTGCATTTTCGGATTCAGCGTAGCGAATAGGCCAAGTAAGCACAAAATCTCACAATCGAGTTTTTGCCCGGACACTGCCTTTAACCACGCACTCCGAAAAATTTTTTGGGGTGCTTCTCAAAATTTCTGCCGGCCCCCTACTCCTAAGATGGAAAAAGGGGGCGTGTTCAAAGCTGATTTGATTTTTTAAATCTCAGAAATTATTTTAATTGTTTACAAGAAGAAACAAGTCACTTGCGCATTATTATAACCCATACTAGCTGGCTTACCCGGCTCCGCCCGGCCCTCTCAGTGCTATAATTAAGGTTTTATCCCTATCCCTGTAGAACCTTTCATTGTGCGCACTTCTACATGCAATTCCCTATTCCCGCTGTGTTAGTAATTAGCATGCCCACATACCTCCCTCAACAACCCCCAGCCCCGTAGCTCAAACTTTGCAAAAAAAGCAATAAAACCGGTAAAAGTAAAGATATTTCTGAAAACTGATGGCGCTATTGGGCTATCCGACTCCAAAATGTTTGTGATGGATCTTGCTGAAAGTCGGTACATGGGAATTATTAAAGCCGCTGATGACGAATATCGTAGTCATTTCGCGCGATAGTGCCATTTTCTGGGTTTACGTTGGGTACACATAAGAAGCTAACATCATGGATTTCGCTGAAACTTTGAGGGGGGCTAATTGACATGCTGATTACGAATATCGTACTCCTTCGGCATTTTTAGGCGATTTCACTGAGCTATGGTAGGTATACTGCAGTGGTCACAATGGTCGGTCGCTCACCGTGGCGTGGGGGTGACACTGTGCGTCGAACTGCGATGAACAGCCGAGTGTATACTCTGGTAGGGCCTCCAAGCTTGAAGGAGTTCGGCGTTTCCGGTTTCGGCCGGATGCCTAGCTAAGAACCGGCCACGCCAGATCCCCCGCCGTCTGGCTTCTTCTGGTCGCTAGGCGTCTCTCCCCGCTCCAAGCCCGGGGTCAGCGATCGCCCCGTGGAAATCAAGAGTAGGCCTAGTAAGCCACCTCTTGTAGGGGAAAATTCATATCACTCCTTCAGTTAGAAGATTAGAAAGAAACCCTATCCCGCCTACGGCGCCGGGTGGTAGCAAGAACGATGTCAGGGTACTCAGAGCGCCTTTCGGATTGGACAAAAACGACACGTCTGCCCGGACGACACACCATGGAGACTGCCTCATGCTCTGCACCTACAACGCCAGGACAGTCTCCACAAACGCCGACCTCCACGCTCTTCTCGACGCTGCAGAGCACATCAACTACCACATCATCGCTCTGCAGGAAACGAAGTCCAGGAAGAAGGACGTGCGACAGATGAATGATGGAACCCTCATCATTCGTGGTGAAAAGGTTCCATCACGAAACGTGGGAGGCGTCGGCTTTGTCGTCCACTCATCTATCGTCCATCTTGTCGATTCGCACGAGATCCTATCACCTCGACTGGGCATCCTACGACTACACCCTCCACGTCAGAAGACCATCAGCATCATCAACTGCTACTCGCCAACATCAGCAGCTGACGACCCAGAACTAGATGCTTTCTACGAAGACGTGGAGGAGGTCGTCCGCAACGAAAAGTCCTTCTACAAATATGTTGTGGGCGACTTCAATGCGAAAATCGGGATGCCACTAAAAAAGGAATATAAGATCGGGAAGTTTGGATATGGGCTCCGAAACGAAAACGGCAACCATCTCGTTGGGCTTCTCTCCGCCGCACGACTCTTTCATGGAAACTCCATCTTCATGAAGAAAGAACACCGCTGGTGGACTTGGGAATTGCGCCCAACGGAACGACTCATGCTGAGATCGATCACATTCTCACCAACCGAAGGTGGAGCTTACTCGATGTCTCTGTAGTTCCATCCTTCTGTAGTGGCTCCGATCACCGCCTCCTTCGAGCGAAGATACGACTCAGCCGAAGGCTGGAAAAGAAAGTCTGTCATGGTGGCGCGAGAAGGAAGGAAGTCGTTTATGACGGTAACAGGCTGGAAGAGCTCAAATCAAGTTGTGACTGGCCCATCGAGGAGGACCCAACGTACGACTACGACCGGCTTCTGAAAGGATTGCGAGCCTGTGGAGAATGCGCCTCAGTGACTTCTGAGAAGAACTTGGAACGCATTTCGAAGACCACCAAGGAAATGCTTGAAAGAAGAAGATTTCTGAGGGGATCCGAATGCAACCCATCTCGAGCGAATGATAGCCAACGTCAGTTGCAGAACAGCTTTGCAAGAGGATCTCAGGAAGTACAGGCAGGTCAAGATACTGGAAGCAGCCGAAAGAAGACGTAGTCTTAAGAAGTGTCGAAGGGACCTCTACGAAAATCACGTACCGCTGGCTGCACTACTGAACGAAGACGGGACTCCGACTTCTTCCCGATACAAGATGGAATCGCGAAGAACTTCTATACCAACCTCTTCCGCTCATCAATACCCGTGCCGATGCCCGTTGTTCCCACTGGAGAAGTACCACCACGAATTCTACCTGCTGAAGTGCGTATCGCGATACAGACCATGAAGACGTCCACGGCTCCAGGACAGATCATCTTTCCGTCGAACTTCTGCGAGCCGGAAGACACCGTATACACGAGGTTCTAGCGTCGCTTTTGACATCTTACCTTCAGAAGGAGAGAATTCCCGACCAATGGAGAACGTCAAGAACCGTTCTTCTCTTCAAGAGGGGTGAACGGAAGGATCTTCGAAACTATCGTCCAATATGCCTGCTGAGTGTGCTGTACAAGCTTTTCACGAAGATTATCCTCGCTCGCGTATCAAGCACACTGGATGAAGCCCAACCCCAAGAACAAGCTGGATTTCGCAAAGGTTTCAGCTGCATGGACCACATCTAGACCGTTTCGAGGGTCATAGAAGTCTGCCGGGAGTACTGACTGCCTCTCGTCCTAACCTTTGTCGACTACGAGAAAGCCTTTGACAGCGTCGAAACCAACGCCATCCTGTCTGCGCTAGTCGATCAAGGAGTGGACCCAGCTTACGTGAGGACGTTAGCCGACTGCTACAAGGACTGTACAACGACGATGCAGCTATTCCATCGCCCCCTGACCATACCAATTGGGAACGGGGTCCGACAAGGCGACACAATCTCGCCGAAGCTGTTCACCGCGGCCTTCAGTGGGTGATGAAGTCACTGGACTGGGACGAGAGAGGCATACGAGTTGATGGGAGATTCCTGTCCAACCTTCGTTCTGCGGACGACATCGTTCTCTTCTCGAGCAGTATCACTGAAGCAAAGACGATGCTGAAGGAACTGAACGAAGTAGGGAAGAAGATCGGATTGCGAATAAATCGGAAGAAGACTCACTTCATGAGGAACGCCCTTTGCGAAGATGCAGAAATGGAATTGGAAGGCACCCCTGTTATGGAGACGTCTTCTTACGTGTATCTGGGACGTTCGATGAACATGGAGAACGACTTGAGGGAAGAACTTAACAGGAGAAGAAGAGCAGCCTGTGCCGCCTTTGGGCCTCTGAAAGAAGCCACCGACCAACTGACGGACCCGGAGCTTCGCGCCCACCTGTTCGACTCAATCGTTCTCCCAGCGCTTTGTTACGCAGCTGAGAATTGGGCCGACACTGTAGCCACGTCGAAAGCTTCATGGACCACCCACAGAGCGCTCGAGCGCAGTTTTCTGAAGATGACCCGACGCAAGCAACATCTAGTCGGACTTCGCATTACGGATATGAGAAGAATGTCCCGTCTTCGTGACCCAGCGGAATATGTTCCGAAAGCCAAACACCGATGGGCCGGTCACTTAATGAGAAGAACAGACGACAGATGGACACTAAGAACATCTGAGTGGATTCCTCGCGAAGCCAAACGTCCTCGAGGAAGACCACCAACGAGATGGGCAAACGTGTTCGTGGAACGGATGGACCAGCTGAGAAATCAGCTGGATACGACTTTCGCCCCTGGAACTCGTGGACGCAGCCACCGACGACGGCCAAGAAGATCGTGGATGTCTGAAGCGAGGGACAGGGAAAAATGGCAACTTCTGTACTGGGGCCCGCACGTCACGTGAGGACGGGCCATCTAAGTATCTAAGTATACTGCAGAGGGGTGAAATCTCAGTTTTGGCTAAAACTCGGTCTAGAGAGATTCGACTTTCTGACCACGTCTAAAACAGTCTCGTTGCGTTTTGAGACCTTTTCGCAGAGTTATGGTAGGTACAAGGCAGCGGGTAAAAATCATGAACCTGCCTGAAACCTTGGCAGAAAATTACCAAAAGTGCGTTTCAAGAATATCGTACTCAATCCCCACGACAAAGGCAATTCATGTGGTATAAAAGTTTCCCACGACCGTAATGCTTTCCCTTATATGACCACTTCCGCGCGCGAGACAACCATCGGCGGCTTTTGCCTAAGCAAAAACAGGGGGAGGGAGATTT